ACATGCTCTATAATCTGCTGAGCTTGTTTTTCTTTCCATTTTTTCTCTTCTCATCTCCTAAATATAATGTTTGGTTATTGTTGCAGATATTGCATCTGAACTCAGATCAAGGTGGCAGTGAAACAACATTGCATTCTTTTTGTTAGATATTGCATCTCAACTCATGCCAATATGTTATTTGGTTTTTCTCTTACACTCTATCTCTCTCATGCATTGTACCTTTTTTACTAAATTCTCTATTATCACAGGTGATAAGTGATCTTTTTTAATACTTCTCCGATTATGCATTTTGTTATTGTTTAATCTCTATATATGGTGTAGTGAAATGACAAGTTGATGTGAATGGGAAAAGGGAGCACGTGTTGTTGATTACTTCCATAAGAATGCCGTTATCGGGGCTTGACACTTAAAGACTATTTTATGTCCTATAGACCATGCTTTATCTCAATTCTAGCTATAATAATTGTAACTTGTGTTTTGTTTTTTGAGTTGTACTTACTTATATTTATGGTTTCCGGGGTATGCCCCTATGAGTCATGTACATTATATTCATATGAAATCTTGAGATATAAATAAAAATGTTTGAGATTGTGGTTAATGTTAATGTTTTGGTTTATTTCTATTAATATATATACTAAAATAAAATATATATATATATATATATATATATATATAAAAGAATATATTATCATGTATCATCTTTTTTGAATGGAAAATAGAATATTTTGATACCGCAGTGTCACTAGAATATGTGATGTAAAAGTGTCTCCGAATAGTTATATTGTCAAGGTATCACTATTTAGTGATACTTTAGTGTCACTAAACTATATGATGTAAAAGTGTCGCCGAATAGCTATGTCGTTAATGTGTCACCGACTCACCATATTGTGATATCGTAGTGTCACAATTCTGTGACACTTGTAGTGACACTTAAAAAGTGTCACTTATAGTGTCACTAGCCCCCACTTTCAGCGACACTTCTTTAGTGTCACAGAAACTTTCAGTGACACTAATTTGGTGTCACTGTAAAGTATTTTTCTAGTAGTGTGTCGAATTCTCTTTTTTATTAGTTTTATATCACAATTTAATATTGTTAGTATACAAAAATGTTTCAAACTCTACTATATATTTATGATTCTTTCGGGAAAGTGTTCACATATGTGTTGCAATGTAAAAAAACATTAACTTTTTGTATTCTTTGCACTATACAATTACATATTTTGTATGATGATAAATAGTGTAAGATTACATAATAGTGAATTTAATTTTATTAAGTTTAAACAAAATCAAGTAACATTAATAATGTTATTAATGTAATAATGTTTTTGCTCCAAATGGGAGTAAATTATTCCTGAAATTCCTAAATAGAACTATCTATATTTTTATTCCCCAAATAGGACTAAATTACCTATTTACCCCCTATTTCCTTCCTCTTCAATTCCTCCCTAAATCCCCTGCGCACGTACACTTCCTCCCATGCGCACAATTCCCTCATCCTCTCTTCAAACAACAATCCTAGAAGCTCAATCCACCTCTGCCCTCACCTGCTCGTCTTCTCCTTCCTCATCGCAGCCGCCATCGTGAAGTCCGCCGTCGCCGCCATCGCGAAGTCCGCCGCCACCATCGCGAAGTCCACCGCCGCCGTCGCGAAATCCTCCGTCGCTGCTGTCAGAGATGGTATTCATCTTCCCCATGCTCCGTTTCTTCTTATTGTTACAAAATGCCAAGTTAAACTCTAAAAATGCCATCAAAATGGCATTCTTTGTCTTCAAAAAAATTGTATTTTCCTTTGCAAATGCCATTGATATGGCATTCTGATAAAAAAAATTGGCATTCACTCCGGCAACGGCCAGATCTAGAAGTGAGGAGGTCAGATTTGCAGCAGTAGATGCCGGATATGGTGCGACGGTGGCTAGATCTGCAGGGGCAGCCTCCGACGGCCGACGGTGTCCAGATTTCCGGTGACGCTAGCCAGATCTGCATCCGCGGTGTCCAGATCTACAACGGCCTAGTCCAGATCTACAACGGCGACCTGTTTTTGAGGCGACGGAGATGTCCCAAGACTGGCGGCGACCGCCGACGACGGCGGCTACCGGCGGTGAGTGGCGGCGACCGGCGAAAGGCAGTTGTCCTGTGTTCTGGTCTCACCAGTATCACTTCCAAGCATCAAGGGCATTTTTGTCCAATTACAGATTATTACTCCTATTTAGGAAATTTTTAGACTTTAGTCCTATTTTGGCAATTAAAAATTGATTTACTCCCATTTAGGTAAATACCTCTAAAATTAATATTGAAGATTTTGAAGTGCTTCATTTATAAGGGAAAAATAACTTCACATTTTAAAATTCAAGTGTTAATATTTTAACATTAAAAATATTTATTTTTAACTCTTTAATTTTTCATTTTTCAATTTCAAAATTAAATTAATTTTTGTTTTTTTTAATTTTTTTTAAAGTTAATAAGGGTAAATTTGCTCCTTCATAGGAACATTAGAGGTATTTTTGCACATTTTAGAAGTTCACAGAGATATCTGCACCTCCACATATACTTCAAGGGTATATTTTCACATTTTCCATATTCGGAAATATTCAAGAAAAACTATCAAAAATGAAGTTATTAAACAATATAATCTTGAAAATGATAAATTAATTAACTTTTTCTACTTCCCTCGGTCGTGTTACTATTTGTAATGATATATATTTGGGATGATAAGTACTGGTATTATATCATAGTAATTGTGAGTTATATTAATGATGATTGGGTGATACTTTAGATGATTATTGCATTTAGAGAATTTAATGAGAAACACAATTGTGATAATTTTACATTTTAATACAATTGAAACTAATGTGATTGATAAGATTTTTTGTTTTGGATTTGATAATGCAACTTATAATATGACTGCTATTTTTAGATTGCGTGAATTGTGTGGTCCTTCAACTAATATGAGCATATTTTTCATCAACAATGTGCATGTCATATTTCAAATTTGTGTCTAAGACAACTTAACCACATTGGGTCAAGTAATGGGGAATATAAAAAATGGAATTAAATGTATTTGGGTAGAACATTGTTAAACAAAAAAATGCACCCAATATTACAATTAGTGATTTGGCGTTTGCACTTCCAAAAGTATGATTATTTTTATTTTTTCCTAAATGCGTCTTTAATTAAATCATAGACACCTCCTACCATTTTAAAATGTATGGACTTTTTTTTTGAAATCAAAATGTATGGACTTCTTAATTATACTACGTATTTATTTTCTCCCTCCTCATTAGCATCCCTTCACAAAGCGACAACTACCAATTCTCTCAAATCTCCATCTCACCTTCTCACGTAGCCACTGTGGTCTATTCAGAAACACTTGTTGCCTAATCGGTCTAAACTTGTAAGTATACAAGTGTCAACGTTGTTATAAAATACTGATAAAAATATCAGGTCGATCCACATAGAAACATTATTTTATAAAGTTCAGGTCAGCATAGTGTGTTCCCCCCAATACAAAGATTCAACCAAAGGTTATAAAAGAGGTAGATTTATGGAAGTCATTCCCCTTTAAAGAAATTTATTATAAAAGGACTCAAGAGTATGTAGGGTCCATCAATGATTGCAATGTTATTTTTTTTACTCCAAGGGGCGTATGGGGGAGAGGGTCTGGGGAGCCTGGAGTAATCAGGGTTGAAACTCACTTCATTGAGTTTCGAACCCGAAACCTCCCGTAAGGGAGAGTGAGTCAGCGACCAGCTTGGTTGGACCGCTTCCTCCCATGATCGCAAGGATCAAGAAACTATGAGTACTCAATGTTGGGAACTAGTGAGGAAGCTCTAATCGTAAATCTTTACATCTCAATGGATTGATGCACTCAAGTATAACGGAACTCCTAAATCCTAATTTTGGGAACGGAGGAAGGCTCAATTAAGAGTAGGGATGGACTCGGGCCGGGTTAACCGGCCCGAACCGGTACTGTTACGGCCCGGAATGGCCATGTACACGGTTTTGTGCCCGGTTCGGGCCACCCGGCCCGACACTGTACAGGGGCGGTTCCCGGGCCTCCCAAATCACGAACCGGCCCGGCCGGATCGGGCCAATTTTTTTTTGTTTTCACATTTTTTAAAAGGTAAATGGGTTGGGCTGGGTGTTTTGGAGGGGTTTGGGGTGTGGGGGTGGGAAGTAATTAGAAAATAAAAAAAAAAATAGGGTACCCGGCCCGGCCCGGTAACCGCCGGGTGAACCGGCCCGACCCGGGCCCGGAGCTACCCGGGTCGGTTTCCGGGCCTCACTTCTCCAAAAAAAGTCCGGTCGGAACCGGACCGAGGCCCGGCCCGGCCCGAACCGAGTCCATGCCTAATTAGGAGGGTTAAACCACGTATGAACAAGTATAAATTTATGAGTTTTTTACTTTCATGCTCTTTATTATATTTTGACTCGATCATTGTTAACACTCAACCCATAGCTATAAGTGAGAGCTTTACCAGAGAGAAAGTAGAATAGCAGTATAGATTACGTTAAATGAATGATACCCTTGCAACGATCCTAATAGAAAGTAGTTATATGGCCAAGCAAGCAGCTAGTGACACGTGTCCGTGCTCGACCAATCCAATGACGTTAGTGCTTTCCTTTGGCTAGAAATTCTTCCAAGTCTTATGTGAAGTTGGAGCGATCATATTTGGAGCTGGGATAACATTTTCATAATTTCATACATGTTCATCCAAAAAGTGGCCCAAAACAGACAATATCTCACTATTTCCAAGTTAGGGTGACTACTTGCCCTTCAATGATTCAACTATGCTTGATAAAAAAATCACATTTTTCCATTTGATCGAACCCCGCTTGCATGGATTTACCACGAGGTTCTTTCTATTGGACCTTGCTTGATGTGATATATAGGCAAATGTGTGGACCATTGCTTTCAGCAGTGGACCTCAATTGTATTGAAAGTTGATTGCGGCAGTGAACAGACATTGGTATGAAAGATCCATTGAGAAGGATTATGTGACTAATTCACTTATTCAAGTGCAACTCCATTATGAACAGACAACAGTAACATAACACTATTACAGTAAGTGTAACTCTCAAGATCTAAATACCATTATCATGAACAGAATGTTTGTGTCAAAATATTGTTATGGAATTTTACCAAATACACAATGCTCTCTGAGTAGTTGGTTAACCTTGACAACTGAATCGGGTGAATGTTGGGGTATCAAGCGAACGCCTATGCAGCAACCTTTTAGAACTGGTAAATGGGGTCGACACATCCGATCCTAAACTAGAACCAAATCATGCTATATACGGTTATGATTCTATCAAAAGGATGACCTCAATCAGGATCGGCTAAAACATGTAAATCACACTTTGGACTGAACCGCGTCTGCCCTATCCACAATTCCAATTAAGGTTCCAAATTTTTGGGACTTTAACACAGTCCACCAATAGCATAATTTGGGTAATGACAACACACTGGAATTTAACAATTGCAAAAGAAAATGTTGGACTTATATGTACAATATGGGCAGTCTGCTACAATACCCAATGCGGTATAAAAAATCCTAACATCATGCAAATCACACCTTTCTTATCACCAATCATGATGAAAGAAGATCAAGTAAACAGGTCTAGTTTCTCGTCAACTATTCATTTACAGCTGAATCAGTTTCAAGATAGCGCTCACCATGTAGAAGATCACCGGCCTGCTCGTCGGGATCATGATCTGGGAAAACCTCAGACTGTAAAGAAGGGAGAATGTTATTAACATGCAACCACGTCAAATCCCACAAGCTATCACCCCCAATACCACTCCGTGGAACGAGGACCCCACTCGTCCTCATCACAATCAAACTGCTTTTCAGCAGCTCTGGAACCAACTCCTGAAGTTTCTCACTCCTCTTGTTCCTCACCTTCACTTTCATATATTTCTCCATTCGGTTAAGGACACCTCGCCACAGTTTACAGAAGGTGGTGAGCTGAGAAAGCTTTGGGAGTAACTGTAGGAACACCTTGTTCATGAGTTTCAGTGCGATGACAAGTGTGCCCTCCATGTTTCTGTAGTCTTTTTGGGAATGCCCCTGTGAGATGTCGACCAGGTCATCACAAACCGTAAAGACAACCATGTCAAAGCATTGCAGCCACAGACCGTGGGGGAGGTAGATGTCATCCACCCCTCCTGTCAGGCAGATCTGAAGGGAGAGAAGAGCGTGGTTTCGGACCTCCTCCCGTTGATCCAAACAGACCTTTTTCAGTCGCTGTACGAGTTTCAGCCACATCTCACCAATATCTTGTGACAGTTTCAGAGCTTCGGTGTCCACCATGGCTTCTCTGGCGTCTCTGGACCAGGAAGCCAAACACGATACGGACCCCACCATCAGGTCAATGGCAGTGACCGACCTATCTGCCTGCCCAACCCGGGACTCCGCAAACTGTCTCGCCGCGTCAATGCAGAGTACGTAGTTGGCTGGCGACAGGTGGGCCCCATCAGACATGATGAACAGTAGGGCGTTGAATCCCACTTCGGAAGCTTCCAGGTGTCTAGCCGTGATAGAAAGCAAAGACGCTATCGTGTGCCAGCCGGTCTGAGAGCGGATGTGGCCAGCGTTAGCTTTGACAAGACGGCCGACCTCTTGAGTGATTTGCTCGCAATAAGCATCGGCAACACGTGCATCTAGCTTGAGAACCAGTTGAAGTGATCTCAACAGTTCATCAGCCAAATTCTCTTTATAAGGAAGCAGTCTCTGGCAGATACGGAGGAGGCCGAAAACAGCCTTTTCAACCAAAGCACATGGCATGACAGTCGAATGAACAATGTTAGCAATATGATCATAAACTCCCTGCCAAAGAAGACCGATCCTATCCCGATTGTTCAAAGTGATTGCAATAAGCAATTCCAAACAGAACACAGCAGTGTCTTCATCCTCGGGAGAACTACCACCCTTCTGAGGTCTCCCTGCCGCCCATATGAGTGCCTTTGCAAGCTGTAATAAAGAATCAGCTAACAGAAACTTGCTTTCCGTGAATATACTGTCTATGTGGCACTTTTGAATTGTCTGAAGCGTTCGCTGATGGGCTGCGAGTTGTTGCTCAGTGGGTTGAGACCTTGGCTCTTCTGAGTCTAGAGACAGGAGTTGACTAAATCTCCCCATGAGTCCAGAAGACCTTTTAGGTGTACTGATGGACTGAATGTGTGCAGAAGATAATGAACTACTAGTGAGAGGAGGCTTTCCGCCGTGTCCAGATTCAGATGATGATATCATCTCAGAGTCTTCATCACTCGCCACACGGGCAGGTAGAAGGCCGAGTTTGTGCAATCTTAAGATGCAATCCAAAATGTTTCTCCAGCCAGAACGGATAAAGTCTCCGTATTTGTTTGCAATGGTGAAAACCGTGACGGTTGCCATCCTTGCTTTCGGGTCATCACCGAAAGCCAAAACAGGTTCTTCAACGGATGACGGGTTCAAGAGAGTCGTGAATTTGCAGAGAGATACAACCAAATCATCCAAAACGTCTTCGAGATGATGGCAAGATGATATCTTTGCAACGGCTAAGAACCCATCAATACACGTTTGGTAAACATCTTCGTGCTCGGCGTGATCGAAAACCACAGAGATGGCAGCAATGGTTGGACCGGACATTATGGCAAACATGTCATGGTCAAGGTAAGCTCTCGAGCCACACTGTATGTACGGTGAGCTTTTCTTAGATTTACTCATCAGATCGATCCAACGGCTGGGAGTCATTTCGGCAAAGCCAGCACCTTGCTCCGGTGTGGTGCGGATCTCGTTACTGCAGATCGAATGATAGAGTTCTATCAGATAATCACGGGGGAGGTCGCCACCTCCATTTATGTGACGGTTATTTCTGATGAAATCTTCCTCAGTCATTTTCTTCTTCACCTGTACATTATGCTGGTCGGTGTTCAGCATGATCAGGGAGTATGACAACAATAAAGCAGCATCTTTGTTAGCCAAAATATGTGGAGATTGCTCATAGTATCTCTCTGAAAAAGCCTCAAGCACTCTCTGTATCTTCTGAGATTCTCCGGGCAATCTGAAAGTCTCCAAAAACAAACGCAATGCGGTGTCTAAGTTCATGTCTTGAAAATCAAACGTCCCGGCAAACTCGTGAAGAACCTGAACACAAAACTCATCATGGTTTCCAAGAAAATCCCCAACGAGGTTCTTGTCTAGCCCAGCAGTATACCTAAAGAAACAAGCCACACTCTGTGGATCAAGTTTTTCAGGCAATAGATGTGTTCCTTGGAGAAACTCTAGCCCTTTCTTTGGGTCCCGATTAAAGTGATCAGCCCCAATCATTAATCTTCTCTTGATATACTTCCTCCTACGTACAAATGGGACCCAATGATCTGGATCGCTATAGTCCTCACATTTCACCATCCAAAATGGAGTGTACTCATCAAGATTCATCAGATGAGGTTCTGAATTGTATGATCCGTTGCTTATCCTTTCAGCCATTCCCTGAATCACAGCAATCAAACCGTCTAAAGAGAGAATATGCATGGCAGACAAAGGAGAATTCACAGGGAAAGCGTTTTTCGACAAAAGATTAGCAAGTTCTTCAAAAACATTCCCACAAGTTATATCACAATCCAAATTCGCATACATCTCCACCATAAATGCTTTCTGTCTACAAAAGTCAACAAGAGCTTCCATTGCAACCTCCTGCTGTTGGTAAGAAGCCCCGTAACGGCTCTGTGAAAGCCTCAATATCACACATGAAAAAAAAGCTTCAAGCTGCAGTTTCAGTTCTGTGCGTAAATGCTGGTAGAGGTTTAGAACGATACTACACACCATTGAAAGGATTAAAGGACTCATTGAGAGCCCAAACTGCATGAGATTCCGGAAGAGTTCATCCTGGACCAAACTCAACAGTCTAGGATGGGTTCTAATGGCCCGGCCACCTAATTCAACTGCCGAGTTGATCAAACCTAGAGCAAACAAAGGGACATCTTCATCTAATGCTGCAGTGTTTGTTCTCGGGCCGATTCCCTTATGTTCAACAACGTTCAGCAATGAACACAGGAAGTGAAATATCTCAACCATGCAGGGGACACCGTATGGCTCGGTCATTAAATGTAAATCATATGGAACAGTATCCTTCCCGTAATCACTTGTTACCATACTTCCATCCACTCCTGAAGGTGATTGTAGGCTATCATATTCAGAAGAGGTTGTACCATTCTCTAACTTATTACTATTATAACTGTAATCAACATCTATGCCAGAAACCTGCATTAGAAGAGAAAAGTAAATACGATACTACTACTAGTACTCAAGCAAAAGAATGACAAGAAAAGAAGATCAATTCAAAAATAATGCTCAACCATGATCATAAGTGTCTTTAAGGGTACACTTGTGAGTTAGGTTTAGGAGGGTATTGGAGAGGACCTGGAAGTGGTTACATTTCATTTTAAGCAAAAAGCGCTTCAACTTGATAGTCGTGGTTCAGATAATGTATTAACTAATAAATTTGTATAGTTTCAATGTCTTAGTCATTTATTTATTAGTTATTACCATATACCATTAATAATTCACCTATTTAAAAAATAATAATAACCCCTCCCCTCAACCCTGCAAATTTTAACTTTCAAACATACCCTAATAGTGTGCCATCAACCACATAGGTTTGCTACTGTGGGTTCACATGTTTTGGCATATCCCATCAGACCAGAATTGGTTGCTAGCACATCATAGTTGCACAAACATAAACAGAAGTTCCACCATGACCACCCCCTCCAAAAAAGTAAGGGAAAATAAGAAAGAACATAAATGCAGCATAGAAGCCAGGAGCATGTCAAAAGCTTCTTTTTTTTATGAGAAAAAGAGCATGTCAAAAGCTTTTTGATGAGAAAATCAATACAAGTATTGGTTCCTCTCTGAGTGTTTTCTTTTCCTGTGTATGTATGTATGACTTTGGAGAGAGCAAAGTGGAGGGCAGGTATTCGTGTGGCTGATCTCTTATCATCTTTTTTCCCTTTATCTTCTTTATCTTTCTTATGTTTTTATCCTTCTATTATGTGTGTGTGTGTGTGTTCTTTTATCCTTTTTATCTTATCATTTTTATGTATATCTTATCTCTAATTTATCTTACCTTTTTTGTTATCTTTTTTATCATACCTTATCTTTTTATCTTTGTTTTCCTTTTGGCTCCGATATCATGTATCGATTCATGTTAGCCGACCCAAAAAAAAAATGGGAAAGGCTTGGATGTTGTTGTATGTATGTATGATGTAATGTTAAAAGTAATCATTAAACTATTCAAAAGATACTAAGCTACTTCCTTCAAATAACTCTTTCTCTACCCCTAATTGCTACAAGGATATAAGGTGAATTAGATAAATATTAGTCACTTTTTTTCGTCAACACACAAACAAAACAAAAAAAAACAAGGAAACTAAATTTCAATAGAGAGGAAACAATATGCTTCATACCTCATGTTTTGCAGAACTGCCCCGTTTAACTAATAGGCACTGTGTGTGGTCAACTTCCGGAAGGTGAGAGAAGATACACCTCACAAGCTCATGCATGGTGTGGCGAGCTATCCGTTGCAAGAGCTCTCCTTTCGTTGCAGCTTGATGAAACACTCGGTAGCAGGTGTTGACAATGGTCGAAACATGTTGATTACTCAAGACAACCGAAACTTTACTTCTCATGACGGCCAAAAGGACTTGAAGTATTTTCATTAGCACAACTTCCGAGGCAGGGTCAGTAACATCAAACCTGCAGCTAGTCACCGCATCAACTACCAAATGCATAGCATCTTCAATATTGGAGGTGCTCAAATCAAGAACATCAAGAGTCAAAATGTGGTAGACAGATGACAAGGCAACACCGTTGATCGGTGCACCAGTCTCATCAGATCGAATAACTTCCAGAAACGGTTGAAGATACAATGTCGGGTTGATAGACTGCCATTGATGGTGGTGCCATGTAAATATCTGCTTCCTCAAAATCTTAAGAGACTGGATTAAGGAGTGTTCTAGCTGGTCATCACCAGACACAAAACGACCACCCCACCTCATGTTCCTTCTCATCACAGCCAACACAGCACTCACCTCTGAATTTATCATGCAGGCGAAATCATTTTTACTTGAGGATGTAGCTTCACACTCTTCCTGTTCCTCTTCAATTGCGTTGATGTTAGACTGCAGTCTTAAGCGCCCCATTTCGGTAAGGAGAAAAAATTAACAGACAGAGCACTGGATGTGAATCAAAGCATAGTCCCCTTGTCTCGAAACCACATCATGATTGTGGAATTGCAGAGAACACAGATGTGTGCCCTAAAAACAGTGTTATCTAGGAAAAATTACCCAATGCCCATACAGACAATATATCCACAAACACTGCAAGAAGTACGGTAAAAATGATATGACAATAAAGCAGGTAATAGAAATGAAAGACGGAGAGGCCGCACCTGGAGAGAAATTGGGCAGCGGACACTCGGAGTTGAGTAGAACACTCCAATTTGGAAATGGTTGACTTGATACGAGGTGAAAGACCTCGGAAACGGCCGTATACCAGTTCGGAGTGGAGTTTCCAGGCTGGGAGCAGACGTCGCAGGGACTGGTTTGAAGGAAGACACAGAAAAGCTGAAACGAGTGAAGATGGACGGCTGCTTCCAATTGATGGGCTCTTTTCTGCAAGGTGGAAAGCAACTTAGGAACAATGGAGGCGACAACACAACCGGAGCACGTGAGCGGGGGGAATTTGTTTTCAGATCTCCGGGAAAGGGTTCCTTCAGGTTTTATTTTTTTATCTGAGATTTTTGTTCTTTTCATTTTGAACTAGTTTTTGTATATTTCTTCTTAACTTATTACTATTATTGCTTCCTATACTATTGTATATTGTATTATACTACGTATATAGTAATACACATCGAATGAAAATTTATGTGAGCAATCTTCAACTATACAACGTGCACGGTGCACATGTGGCATGAGCGATAGCCACATAAATATTAGTAAATAAATTCGTTATCTCCTTATTTGAATGCTTTTATGTAGATATGATAAGTTTTTCTTCACAATGTCAAAGAGACCGTCTAGATGTTAACATTGCAGTTGACATTACAGGGAAAAACTTACCAAAATTGTATAAAATCATTCAAATAAGGAGAGAGATAATTTATTTGCTAATATTTATGTGGTTATCTTTCATGACACATGTGCATCGTGCACACTATAGCATTGGAGATGCTCTAATGTTACTGTTTTAATGGTAAAATCAACTTCTCATTAAATAACTGAATCGTTCTCAATTTGGATAAGAATAATACTCGTATCAGAGCATCTTCAATGCTAAAACGTTAACGGTGCATACGTGGCATGCGAGATAGCCAATGAAAAACAATAAATAGAATATCTCTCTCCTTATTTGAAGGATCTTATATCATTTTGATAAGTTTTTCTTCACAATGTCAAACACAATGTCTAAATGTAGACATTGTGGTTGACGTTGCAGGAAAAAACTTACCAAAAACACACAAGACTGTGGAAAGACAGAGAGAGAAATGTTATAAAATCAATCTTTTGTGTCTATCTCTCTCATGTCACATGTGCACCGTGCACATTGTAGCATTGGAGATGCTCTCATATATCACGAATAGAAAGAAGACCGAAAAATGCTCGCCTTTGCAATAAGACAAAGGAAAGTGAGATTCACTTCTAACAGATATCTAATCTAATATGGAGAATTTAACTTTGCACCATATTTTTAAAATCATTGATGTATGCATATTAGCAATCCAAAAATTGTGAATGAATGAGGTGCAAAGTTAAATGATTTTATATTGAATTGGGGTGCATAAATTAATTAGTGATTTTGAAAATACGGTGCAAAGTCAAATATCACTCAAAACATCGGGTGCAAAGTCAAATTCTCCTTATCTAATACTCCCTCCGTCCCTTAAAACTTTGCCAACTTTTTTTTGGACGTCTCACTAACTTTGACACTTTCCCTTTTAAGTAAAGAAATTGTGGTTCCAATTAATTCTCTCTCCTCTGCACAAACCTCAACCATACAGTTTTTACTTTATCAATCACTGTGCCACTCAAACTTGGCAAAGTTTTAAGGGACGGAGGTAGCATCATCAAACCATAAATCTAAATATGACAAACCCTTATTATTGCACGCTGCTTGAACAACCGTCAATGCATCCGCCTCGATGTCCACTTGATTCCAATCCACTTCACTTGCCCACATGATCGCCTCTCTAATCTCTATCGCCTTAGCTTCCTCCGGAGACCACTTTGCATTCTTAGAGCCGCTAATAATTCCTAGAATCTGCCCTTGAGAGTCACGAGCAATACACCCCAAGCTCGTATTCTGTCTGCCACGTTAAAGGTGGCATCCACGTTTACCTTTACCCTCCCATGTTGCCACTTCGCAGTCTTGCCTCACTGCTAGGCGCTTGAACCGCATACCAGCTTTGTAACATGGTGATAATCGGCTTTTGCGACATTGTAGTAAAATGAAAACATTTGATAGATTGTCTAAACTACTTTTGAAAGAAAAAAAAATCAATTTAAATTATGTCAATACTAATGATGGCTCAAAAATAAACTAAATGAAAAATATAATATCAAGCTCTAAATGGATTGATCAAAGAAGGGCAATGGATTGAATTATAAAATATGGGTACATCCTTGGATTTAATAATTAGGAGTATTTATAACTAAAGGTTGGACTTGTGATTTCTTTTCTCATTGACAAGATTTAAGTTACTTTCACTAATTTATCCTATTTCTAGACTTCATTAATGTGTTTAAAATGATTGGTCCAAATTATATTCTAATCCTATAGAAAAGATAGATATAACTTTCCAGGTTGTAGCTAATAAAATGGTCAACTTTATTAATTAATTAGATTTATCATATTAAACAATTGAATTAATTCCTCATAGACAAGAATTAAATTCTATCCATTAATTTATCATATCTCTATGCTTCATTTATGTGCTCAATATGTTTGGCTTAAACTATTTATAATCTCATACACAAGTTATAAATAATCTTCCAAAGTTTAATTAATGAAATGACCAAATCTATTAAGTAATCAAATTAATCATTTAGAACAAATAGTCCATAAAATTATTTAAACTCCTAATTTTAAGTCAAACAAGGTCAATCCATATTCCTTAATTCAGTTCATGCCCAAGAGTAAATTAACTACAACAACTCATTACTAGTTTTAACAGTTTACATGTAAAATAAGGCATAATCATAAATAATAACAACAAAAGAAAATATTAAAGTGGATATTCCCAACAACTAAAGTTTCGTTTCATTAAAAAATAAACATCATTTATACTAGGTATTGGGTTTATCTAAGTATGAGATTAATATAGAGAAAAGGGTCGATTCAGTACACGAAGTAGGGGCGTATGGCATAAAGAGTACACCATCATGCAAAGCAGTTCCAATGGTACATCAACTTAAGAAACGAGAGTTAATTTGGTACCTCGGCCCATTTAATATGCTAAAGTGCACAGGTGGCCAACGGATTACTGATGTGGCATAACTAAAGACTTCTCGTCATCAAAGCGGTAGTTAATACCCTTCAAACCCTACCCCGTTGTATTCTTACGCGACACTGAAACGAAGAGCACCGTTGAAGAGCAAAATCGAACCTGAAACCTAAATTGGTGACCTTCATTTCAAGATGGAGTTTGACTCTTCTCAACAACGATATGGTAATGTGTTTCTTAAGCATTATATAGTTACCATTATATAGGATGAATGCATCCGTACAATAATATGGAAACCATACTTTTACATGAATATTGTTATACTTGAATGCATTCTTGAAGTATATTTAGGGTTGTAAATCGCTTAAACATAACATTATAGTGGTTGTTCATTATTGTTGCATCGTTTATTAAAATTTGTGTATGTTGGATACTTGAATTTGTTCCACTACTTGTTTGTACTTGGGAAGCTCTTAATTGAGTTGAATATGGTTGGTAACATATACTTATTATGCAAGCAGACAAACAATGGAGGGGCCTACAAGTCATGTCCCGTTTATTGTGGATTTGGGCTTCACAGATGTTGTTGCTGAGGCAGAAGCAGGACTCTTATTTGAAGATGAGTTTAACTCTGAAAATGAAGATGATGAGGAGCTACTTCATGGCCGGAGTTTGCTAAGGAAGCTGGTCACAAATTCTAAGAGTCTTCGTAAAAGTAAAGGCCCAAATACTGATAACCAAGCCACAATTGAAGAAGAGGGGACCTGGGAGGAAGATGGTAATGAAACTGATTACTTCAGTTCTAGTGAAGAAGGAAGCTACCAATCTGGTTCTGATCCTGAACAAGAAGACAGTGTGAGAGTCAAATCCAGATTTCCAAGCTTCAATCCAGATGATAAGGTTGACTTTAAATTGAGAATGAGCTTTGAGTCCAAAAGTGAAGCCAAAGATGCCATGGATAAGTACTCTGTCACCAACAGGTATCCCTATTATTGGGCTAAAAACTGCGCGAATATGCTTAGGGCTAAATGTTCTAATTTGGACAATGGTTGTACATGGATGGTCTACATTGTCATAGACAACAGATGTAGCCGTAAGAAGTGGGTGGTCAAGACTTATACAAGTCAACATAGCTGTAACCCAGGGTGGCAGCTACCCAGTGCTACAGCAAAGTGGTTAGTGAAGAATTTTTTCAACACAAAGCCTGGAGTATCTGACATGAAGGTAGGTGCAATGAAAGAAATGGTGAAGAGAGAACTGAACTGTGAAGTCTCCTTGGAGCAGATGAAGAAAGCAAAATCAATGCTCAGGAAGTTAGAAAAGGGAGACATAGAGGCAGAGTACAAGGATTTGGAGGGTTATAAGGCTGCAATATTGAAGTCCAATGAAGGGAATACATGCATTTTACATGTGAAGCAACCTAATCCAATATTTGACAGGTTTTATGTATGTTTTGATGCCTGCAAAAGGGGATTTTTGGAGGGATGTAGGAGACTAATAGGAATTGATGGTGCCTTCTTGAAGACAGAAGTGAAGGGAGAAATTCTAACAGCTGTGGCAAGGGATGCAAATAACCAGATGTTCCCAATAGCATGGGCAGTTGTTGGTTCTGAAAGTAAAGCCACATGGAAGTGGTTTCTTGAAAATCTTAGAGATGATTTACACATTGGAAGAGGAAATGGATGGGCTTTTGTTTCTGACCAACAAAAGGTCAATTTTCTAATTTCTTTTCTATAGTTTCACACCTGCTTGAGTTCGGTACATTATAAACTTGACTACTATAACTCCATTTATTATACTTGTTAGTTCACTTGAAATTATTAAATATAAGGTGTAAGCTGAGTCATTTTACTTCACTTGTTTGTTCAGTTCATTAAGGGAATTTTTTATTTTTCCCGGGGATTGATGTCTGCTTTGTATGAGACATTTCCAGAATTTGAGCATAGGAGATGTGCCAGACACATTTATGCAATATGGAGAAGAGCACACCCTGGAATTGAGTTACAAAGAGCTTTCTGGAAGTGCTGCAAGTCTGCATCAAAGAGGGAGTTTGAACTGGACCTAGAGGGGTTGAAATCTCTTTCTCCAAGTGGCCATGAAGATATTCTAAACATAGATCCTAAGTTCTGGTGCAGAGCTTTTTTTAATAGGAATATTAAGTGTGAAACTGTAGACAATAATCTCTGTGAAGCCTTTAATGGAGTCATTGTTCCTGCTAGATCTCAGTTAAGTTATTCCCAGTTGGAGTATATTAGAAAGTTAGTCATGCAAAGGCTTACCAAGAATAGGGATTTAGGAGACAAGT